TGAGTTCTCTATGATAAAGGATAGTTTTGCTATGACTATGGTTCATGCATTTTTACAAAATTATCAAAGTTCGATAGAGAAAAGTCTTTATAGCCCTTATTTATTCGTATGAATAAACCCATTTTTGACGGGCTTCCATTTGGTATAAAATTCAATATTGATATCATTTGCCATTGGAGCTGTATCCCCCAGGCAAAACATTTTTGGCAACCCTGTACAACGAAAAACAATGAAATATCTACGCCTTAGTTCAATGAACCGAGCTAATTTTTTTGTTTAGTAGTAGAAGTTATTTCATTTAAAGTTTTTTGTGCATATGGATAAGATAAGCAAATGCTACTATTAAGTTCTATTGCTGGTATCTTGAAAGTACTTTTATCTATTATCAAGTAAGAAAGATACATGCGTAATGTCGTATAGATAATTTTCAGTTGGTACTTAAGAAAATAATCAATAGAAATCAAGACAAACTCTATGAAGGAATACTTATTAATAGTATTTGTTCATGTTATATATATGAGAAGAAAACTTTAAATAAACTACTACCATTAGTCCAAAAATGAACCTATGCGAACGAATTGAAACAACCATATTTTATGTTCTTTATATCATAGTATTATTTATGACCCAATTTGTATATGAATCCATGGTTTTTTTTTTACTTATGATGATCTTTTTAATTCATGAGCTATCTTTAATTCATATGGAACTATAATACAAATTTACCTTTGATTAATATAGAGTTTGAATATTCGAAGAAATATTTGTATATGTCCAATGCGACGCACTTCTGAATATTTTACTGCTAAATCTTACATTCGAACCTGTCATTATGACGTATTTGACATGATATGTAATATGTCCATTATCGAAAAATATCTTTGCTAGTCATTCTTTAGAAAAACACCCAACAAATAGATTTTTATTTTTGTTCGCTATTTTGATCATAAAAGAAAACATCAGAGAAAAAAAAATAAACTTTGTTTTTTTAATACATGAAAACATAAACAAGGACAATAATATGAAAAAAAAAGAGATTGATTAGTTCATATTAAATTAATTTGAGGAATGAATATTTATGCGTATAATTATTGTCATATTTAATATCTCATAAACGTATTTTATTGTTTACTAGCATTTCATTTGATTAAAAGTTAGTATTTTGAACTTTTTGCTTTGATGATCCTGATTGATATGTTTGTTGATTCGAGTTTCCTGACTTCTTCACATTAACAATACGAAAACTTTCTAGAATACAAAAAAGAAAAATAATACATATTGTGCACAAAAAATTAGTCTGATAGATTGTTTTCACTTCATTATTCAAAAGTAATATTTTGCTCTTTCGAAATACATAAAGAATAAGAAAGAGTTTGTCTATTGTACTAAACAGTTACAATAGGATCAGAAAAGTTTTAGACAAATGAAAATTGAGACTTGAATGTCAAAGTAGCCATTCCAAGTAGAACGCATTAGATTCGACAGTTTTAAACTTGATGTAATTTTTTGCAAACAGAATAGAGATTTTATAAAAACTGCAAACGATTTTCACCAATCTTACAGCATACGAGAAAGTTTTCGAAATATATTTAAAATTAGATTTATGAAGTTCTAATATGATTACGACCTAGGCAAGATCTAATCACGTTGATGATTATATCTCATGTAATTGACTCGGAATGAACATCGTATTCAAATCTTACCAAGAAATTCATTAACATCAATTTTCCCATTTTTATCCAAATCCATAGCAGAACTAAGTTCTTCAATATATGCTTCATTTACATCACCATTACCATTTTCCCCATAAAGTAAAAGTTTAACACAGTCAGAAAATTCATTACGACTTATAAAACCTATAATATTATATTAGATAGATAAATATTCATCAAAATAATATAAACTATACCTGAATGATTGAAATCTATTAAATTAAATAATAATATAAGCATGTCTTTCCACATATATAAATCTTCCATAATACCAGTATTAGACTAAAACAATTAGAATAAAATATGAATTTATAATTTCTTATTTGTTTTTGTTCATACCATTTGAAATTTTGAATTATCTAAAGTTAATCCATCAAACATAGAATTATAAAGAATTCCTTTTGTATCTTCTTGTACAAGTTTTGAACGTAATGTAAGCCAAGGTAAATCAATTTGAAGTACCTTTGTCATTATTTCAGACCAAACTGTCAAAGATAAATGATCTAATAAAACACAAAAATAAAATATTTTTATTCAATACAAATATTCTTATAAATTGTATTACTAGTTTGATTTTTATCTGCTTTTTCAAATTCTTTTTGAAATAAACTTTTATTTGTCATAATTTTTTCTAATAATGATTGATAAGCTGGATCTTCAAATAGTGTTACTCTTTAAGAGAAAAAGAAAGTAATAGACATATCTTGATTTATATTATCTTACTGTTTATTAAAGCTTAATTTTTCCATTTCAACAGGTTCAGTTTTATATGAAATTAACCATGGCTCTAGTTCATTATAATCCCTAAAAACAAATTTGATATTTAAAACAAAAAAAATAAACAATGTCATAGGTACAAACCATCGTACAATTGCACCCCAATTGGATCCTTTACAATAATTTGATGCACTAAAAACAGTTAAAACTTTGCGATCATGTGTAAATTCATAACCCTCTTCTTTGACTTGATGTGAACGTATAATCATCGACAGATTATATTTATTAAGAAATTGTTCTGTTATATCTGGACCAAAGAAACAGGCCATATTTCTTGCATCATTTTTTCTACAACCTTTACGATTATGAGGATCTGGATCACTCCAAAATAAATCTAAATATAATTCATATTAAATACATGAGATTATTTATTTATATTATTCACTACCTTGTATTTGACGATATTCATTATCTTCATCAGCAGTCAATCGTTTACCACCACTTTGAGATTGTGGTGGTACCTCAATCGAAACATCTACAAAATCAGAAACATTAACATTTGATTAAGAAGCTAGTAATTCGAAATCAGAGCAAAATTTGTTTCTTTTGACATTGATTTATCATTGTTCGATGATTAATCATCGGATTCCTTTAATCGTAAGAAGCACGATAATTTTCAATACTAGAAATATTCTGAACTCCAATTAGAATTTTAAAGAATTAGTTTCTCCCTGTTTATGAAAAAATATATGCCCAATATTTTGTTTAAGCCAATTTTTTCTAAGTTGCATTAGAATATAAATATGTGTGCCATTTTTAAACTTACATCGATTTCTTGTAAGAGTATTTATTTTCTTTAAATTAACTTTATCAGATATTCCTCCATGTACTATCATCATTCTAGATTTTCCCGCATCAACATATGAATAAAGTGGTAGCCAACTAAATATATCTTTAAATAGATCAAGTACTGGTGTTTTACGTGCCTAAATATATATTTGATAGATTTATATTTTCGGTTAATTCTCAACTAACTGGATATTTTTTGTTAACTTCATTTTGAAAACCATATCGAACTGTAACCATAATATCTTCATGATTACCTTTTCAATTTTGTTAAACAAAAAAATAAACAACATTTAATCAAAATATAACAATCAAAAGAAAATAGATACCTCGATTAAGAAAGACTGAACTTGGATTAACAATCAATGCAACCATAAGTAGAAGTATAACTTCAACTGAATTTGGACCTCGATCAACAAAATCTCCATTGAATACATATGGATTGTCAATTGCAGGTAATCCATTCTATAAAAATCAGTCAAATAGAGAAAAAAAAAAGAAATTCTTATGAATATTTATTCTACCGCATTAAATATATGTAGTAAATCAGCCAATTGTCCATGAAGATCACCAATTATGTATATATGATGTAAATTAGATAAATCAATATGATTAAAATTTGGTAAAGTTTTAAGTATAGCACGTGCTTGATGAAGAATTTCACAGACATATTTTTCATGTAAAACCTATGAAAAGATAAAGATGTATAGTTTATGTAATACGATCTGATTTATTCAAACAACACTACTAGGTTTTTTATGATTTATAATGATTACAGAAATGATTGGATATAACAGAGAAAAACAATTTTTTTCAGAAAAGTTCTTCGACGAAAAATGCCTGGATATACTATTTTTATTTGTGAATGCATTGTTTCCATTCAACTTACATTAAAATGAACACTTAATCTATTCGCTTTGATATCTTCAAATTGATATTTGTTTTGTTTTTCTTTTTAAATCTTTCAAAAATAAAAATGTTAACTGATGATGAAATAAAAGATCAACTATGACTTACCTGAAGTCTTTAATTCTACTTAGAAAAGTCTGAATGAAATAATAATACTTCTAATAGCAATTGTAATAAAAATTTTACTTAAAATCTAATCAAATAATGCTTGTTCCCTATATCATGAAATCGAGTTACTAAAATATATTTTCAAAGTTTGCGAGAATTTTACACATGTCTAAGGCGATCTTATAAGAATCAAATCACAATTGACTGTTACTTTTAGAGTATGATTGATTGGTTCAGTCCTAGACTAGCAGCCACTCTGACGATATCTAATCGTAAGTCTATAGAGAAAGCTTATCAAATTGTTCTCATTTAGAAGTCATCTTTATATGCCTGAAATAAGATTTCAAAAGTAATGAATCATTTCATACAATTCCTTACCGAGATAAAAAGCTAGATTATTTTCGACATGTGTTTTCTTTGACAAAGAATAGTTCGATGTCAGAAGATTTCCCAAGAGAACACTGATATTTATGTTACCAATTCAGCGAATTGGAAATTCTTAGTTTAGATGTATCAAGTAATTATACGTTTATAGTCCAGCATAATAATTGGCATACTAACATAAAAAGAAAAACAAATGTTTTTCAAACATTTGTTACAATTACTATCTCATTTTTACATTAGTTCATAAAAATTCATTATCTTTCTCTTGCGTTTAGTATTAGTTGTATTCAATCGAAATAGTTATATCTATTAATACGTAAAATTTTAATCTTACTCATCATTCTCTAAATCCTTTATCAACAAATAACCTTTAAAGTATTTTATCATATTATATATCATAATCCTCTACAACTTATGTGTTGAGTGCTTTCTCTCACTTACTTCTCCATGTTGAAAAGCTTCAATCAAATCTACAAATGTCTTTCTTGTTATTGGACCTTCGATACCTATAAAACAAAATGAATCATCAATTCGTTTGATCTAAGTAATTAATAAAAAAAACAAAAAGCAAATAATCACTTACGTAGTCCTTGATAACTAGCTTGGACAGAAATACTAGCAGGATTTGTTAGTCTTAAAAGTTCTTTTTCTTCTACATGAAAAACAAAATCAAATATATATCTATTATCTATTCTATTTTAAAAATAATACATTACCTACAGGTAATCCTGCTTTTTGAAGTAATTTTGCCACAGATGGTGAAAGCAAATCAGATGATTTAAGTAGTTTTTCAAACATATCTTTAAGCTAAAATATATAAAAATTAATTTTAAATTCTAATGTTATTACAAAAAATAAATATATATATTGTTGTTTACTTTGGCTTCAGTTTGTTCACTAGAATATTCAAGTTTTTCATGTATTTGCCATGCT